TTTTTAACTTATATTTTTATTACCTTCTATATATGCTTTTTATTAATTTATATATACTTTTTGTGATTTTTTGGATTTTTTATTTCATTTTCATTCATTGTTACTACTTGGTTTTTAGTTTTTTCGTTTATTCACACTACCCTTAGTAATAAATATGCGCAACAACTCACCCGATATAAATGAAATTTCCGACAGCATAATCCATTTCACAGCAAAATATAAATTGATTTTCAAATATCTACCAACGCGATGATGTAATTTGATAGTGACATCGCGCGCGTGATCCATTACGGTGTCTGGCATATAAGAGAATTGCACAGGTTCGCCAGAGAAGTGTCGTCCGCCAATACTAAAGAAGACCTTAGCACGCACGAATACCTACGATGGCGTTTGAAATAGAGTAAAAAAAAGCGTTGAAATATTTTATATTTTTTTTTATTAAAGTAAAATATTTGTATTAACTTTTTGGTAACTTAATAAATGTTGCTAAAAAATCTTTAATTTTGTATACATTTGTAGTCTAAGGTATTTTGTATTAGTCTATAAACTCAAGTCAAATAATTTCCTGTTAATAATATTAAGTCAATTAATGCGTAGTTACTCCGTTTAAGTTCCTTACCTGCACATCCTTGGTGAACATGTTATTCGTATGTAATATTATCGCACTGAAATTTCGCAGGGTGTCAAATTCGAAAATGATTTCAACTGGTTTGCCATTCAAATCGGGTGTATCGTTGCGCCAGCCAATCCATTCGTAGCCTGAAATTGGAAGAAAATGCGAAAAACATTAGTAATCAATAATAATAGTGCAATAAATATATACTATATGTATATAATATTTAAAAATAAAATATACTAAACAAATTATGCCGGAAAAATCTAGAAAAAAAATTTCTTCTAGCCTTCCATTTTTCCTTTACATAAAAAAGCTTCTTTCCGCTGAAAATCTCGGTTCGCGAGCTTTCACCATCGCAATAAGTAGATGAGAATTAAGCTTCATATTGCAGAAGTTTAAAATAATGATTAAATAACCACGTTTCTTCAAATATTCCATCTTTTCTATACATGAAAAATTTTTCTTTCGTGTGAAAAACTGAGTTCGTGAGCTTTCACTATCGCATTAAATGAATCAGAATTGCAGCGGCATGTTGCAGATGTGTGAAATAATGATTAAATAAACACTTTCGCTAGAAAATACTCATTACTCATTGAAAAGAAGCACTGAGAACGGCAAGCATTACGATTAAAAAGAAGGACCTTACGATTAAAATTTACAGCTGATGAGCTTTCATTAGCAAAATAGATAAGAGATAAAGAAATAGATCGTGGGATCTAAAGAAACTTGTTGCCGATTTACGAAATAATTATACAAAACTTCTATTTTTTGAGACTGTATTAACAGAATAACTGATCATATAAAAAGTATACCATGCATATTTAACGAACAGATACTTAGAACTTTCGAGTGTAAAGCCTCAAATGTAGCTTGAATTTGAAAAGGTTTTATTTCACTGGTAAGATATTTTAATTTTCTCTTGAAAAATAAGAATAATAAAATATTATATAATATATTAATAAAAAGCTTTGAAAAAGCGTATTTGCAAATTTAGCATAACAAAACCGACTAAATTTTGGGGAAATTTCAAAAGTTTTTTAAACGACGTCATTTTATAAATTTGTGGTTTTGTTCGACGTGAAATTAGAGTCGTAGGAGCAATATCTTCCAGATTTCTTTTACGTTCATCATTGAAAACTAACAAAAGCTTTAAAAAATCTCTACTAAAGTTTAGATACGCATGTTTAAAAATTTAGTAAGACAAAGCAGACAAAAATTATATGAAATCTCCATTTTTTTTTTAACGGCGTCATTTTACAGTTTTTTCATTTTTTTCGACAACATGTTCGAGCCATCTGGGCACTATATTCCTGCATTTTTTTAAGTTCCTCATTGAAAACTGACAAAAAGCTCTCTTAAGGTTTAGATACGTGTTTTTTAAAAATTCAGTAGTACAAAACCGACTACATTGGTGGTGGAAGTTTCAATATTTTTTTCAAACGCCGCCATTTTATAAATTTTAAATTTTTTCGACTTCAAGTTCGGGCCGTATGGGTAATATCTTATGATTTTTATTTTAGGTTCATCATTGAAAAATATTTTTTATTCTTAAAAAATGCATTCAAATTTCTTTATTTTATGAATTTTAGATTTCTTTCGACCAGAGCGCATTGTACAGACAATATTTTCCCAAAAATTTTTTTAGATTTCATTCACGAAAAATAGTTAATTTTTTCTTCAAACATTTTACCTAGTACTCCTAAAATATTAATGTATAGATGTGCTCCTATGCACCTAAAACTTTAAAAGAATTGAAAATCTTTTTTATAGATACCCACAAATCGCCGTTTAAGCTTCCAATCTGGATTGTGGCTTTTCATTTCGGTTAAACACCCAAAACTCAGCAATTCTGTGTTTTATAATTTGCAATTAACTTTCTTGAAACCGCACTGACAATTCCTTAAAGCCAATTTCGAGCTAAAATTTTTGCTTAATACTCCTTCCTCACAAAGGATTTCGTGCATGTAATCTGCTAGCCTCCAACAATTATTACCTAAGAAAGCTATTATTGCTTTGCTGCTTCGTGTTTTCATGGAACAAGAAAGGAGGTTAAATATTTTTACAAGAAACGTATCAACAATATATGAACCACCCGCTGGCGGCAATGACTTTCAATGAAATCATAAATTCCAACACATGTTAAATATTATGGGTTAAATAACATTGCAGCGCCCACCCCTGTCCTACAGCACCCCACCAAAAAGCACGGTAAGCGCTGTCAGTTAGCTCACCTGTGTTACGCACCGTTGCTTACTCGCTCATTAGACGCATCGTAAAATTCAAAACAAAAACAAATAAGCATAGGTAAAAGCAAAGTGGAGCGTTAGGCGGGCTCTGAGCAGCAGCTGAAAATAATTTGCCTTCCGCCAAGTCAACGCCAGCAGCAGGGGAACCTTAAATAACTGGAGCAAACAATGGCTATGGCAACAAACTGTCAAACGAAAATAAATGAAGTTTTTGTTAGCCCAACTGGTTGGCAGGGGTACCTTGGGCTTTTGCACACGAAAATAGCTAGCACACGCCTGCCAGTAAACGACGAGTGCGTCACGACATTTAAACCTTTCTTGCTGGCTTGTTTACACACAGGGGTGGTGTAACGACGAGCTTTATTTAACTAGGCGGAGGCAGCAACTTAAATTTTGGACGACAAAAGTGTGTTGTTGCAGCGAGCAGACCTTACCTGTGCTACTACTAGGGCTTGCCTTAAGAGTCAACAGTAGAGAAAACACTGAAGACTCGAGCCATGCACAAAGCAAGCACGCGGTATATCGAAATAGTTGGGTGGGGGACCTGGCAGCATTTTCGAAAAATGTGGCAGCATAACAAATGCGAAATACAAACGTTGCATACTTTTACACGCCGAGGCATAAACTAAACGAGCGCACAGCATTGCATTCGCCATAAAGTAAAAGAGGCGGCGAAGGGACGCTGATGGATTTGTTTGTTCGCAAATGCTCAGCACTGACGCTACTTGCCACTGAGCGCATAAAAATTAAAGCGGGACTGCAGCTAGATCCACAGAGCACGCGCCTCAAAATCAGCACACCCTCAAACCCCTCGCATAGTATAAATAACTAAACTATTCGTCTGTGCTTGCATGAAACAATAATAACTTTCAAGCCGCTGCACAACTTCGCGCGTAAGAAACTGAGCATAACTAGGAAATATTTTTTATGAAGCCCCCCCAAAAGTGCGCGCACACCAAAATACTTACAGAGAGTCTCTCCAGCGCGTCGCAAAGCCAGAAAAGCGATTTTTCGAGGAACCTCATTGGGGAAAAGCCGCGTAGTTGCTAATAAAAAGGGGCGCAAAAAAAAAAAAAAGAACGGAAAACAAGCAATCACGTCATAGCAAGCCGTGAGCTTCTCCATCCACTACACTGCCACTACATCCCATATAACAGTAAAAATAGTCGCAATAGACAAATAAAGCAGAAACAAAAATCATAAAGAAAACAATAATAATAATAACAACGACTCGGCGTCTCATTGAAAATCAATAGTGGAGAATTCAATATTCAGCTACAGAATGCATGCCATGCGGCTTTCTACAGCCCCAGCTTTTGCTTAAGCTTCTTTTGTTCAATTCATTTTGGACTGACTGTGCCTGCGGCTTGCGGCAGTCGGGGCGCATAGCTGAATTGGCATTTAGCTTTCCGGTAGCGGTGGTCGTGGTGCAGCCGTCTCTCATTGATTGTTGTCGCATAAAATGGACAAATTATGCAAGCATACAACCACGTCTTCAGTGCTCCCCCTCTCTCTGCCATTGTGGTGCCGTATTGACGCAAGAATGCTTGTTCGCCAAAAATTCTTAACTTCATTGTGTTCACTGAAGCCAACACTGCTGTCAGTGCTGCATACCAGTTGTGGGTACGTAAAGACTAAGCTCTTAAACTTCGAGGAATCGATTGGATTTAATTTTTGCTAGAAATCGAGCAATGGTGGTGTGTTTTGTGGGACTTTGTATTTATAGTTTTATTTACCATATAAGAGAAGTCTCTGAGAAAGTCGAATAATGCACTTGTCAGACAGATTCTGTATTGTAAAGAGCTGTTGGTTTTTCCTTAATCTCAGTAAGTTAGTTTCGGAGTCTTTGGAGCAGCATGCGATTAAAAATATATTTTAGTACAATAGACGCAACGATCGCTCTGCCTTCTCTATCGCACTTTAGGAGATTATCAGTCCTCTTAACTCATACACGTGTCCTGACATCGTTTCAACCGAACCTTAAGTTATATTTAACGACTATAAGAATAATTTCATAGAGAGATCTTTCTGCTGCTCTACTACGAGGTGAATAACTCTAATTCTAACTCATAATCGTGATCTGATATCCTTCGCAAGGTGTCTTAAGCTAAATTTGATGACCATGAAAGCCTTTAAATAAAGAGGCCTCTCTGATCTACCTACCCTTAGGATAAGATCATTACCTCCTACTCGTGACCGTGACGTGATATTCTTTAAACGGTACCTCATGCTACTCTTGATCACCCTAACAGCCCTTCAATAGATCGGTCTATCTACTCTACCATACCTTAGAAGGTGACCATTCCTACCGGCTCATGATCGGTTCCTGATATGCTTTCTGTGAAAATTAAAACTATATTTGCCGAGCATGATTGTCCTTTAATAGAGAACTCAATTCATATCCTCAAATTTTTTGGTACAGACGACCTCATCTGACTGACGAATTTTTACTAGGGAGTTTATTAGAGAACTTTCCGTATAAGACAAAAGATCAACTGGTGTCTCTAGCATTTCTAATAATGCGACGCTTCATTCTTTTATTCTGAGCTCCGATCATTGAGGTATTCTTTTTTAATACTTATATGTATTTTACAGTAGGTATTCTTTCCTCGAATGGAGGTTTTGTTTGATGTGAAGGCTTATATTAGTTCTGGTATCAATTAATGTTCAATACGATATCGACTTGGGTTCTGAGCATAGATTTTTAAGGCAATGAGACTTTATATCGGTTCTGCAGTCTAACTAACGTAATATAACGGATTTTGTAGAATTCTTTTGCAGCTCATTGTCAATTAAATTGAATGAAAATTAATCCTTTAATTTTATCCCAGCGATGAAGGTTTTGTGAAAGATAGTTAGAATCACCACAGAGTCTTAGGTTTAGCGCAATCTCTTCACTACAATTCTAAATTCACATATCCTTCGTAAAAACATTAAAATATCCTGAGTTAAAAAAAAAATAATAATATACTTGCTCAAGTTACTTGAAAGTTCTTCAACACAAAATTTGTGCAAACTAGTATAGGATAGTTTAATAGCATCAGCAATTCAGTCCAATATTTTGCAAACGATATTATCACCGGCGCCAAAATAGTTAAAATATGTCTGCAATTTCGTCTCTAGAAGAGATACCTAGACACAAAATCCACCACAAATGTTTCGTTGCAACTTTCAATGAAATTTTCGCAAACTTTAAACAACTTTATTTGTATTAAAGTTAGCAAAGGAAACAAGGAAGTTTATTTAAGCTTTTACACACTCACTCTCACCGCTCACGGCAGCGCGCGGCAAATCGCCTTAGCAATCAAATGAGCAGAGTTTATGAGTTCCTTTTTGGCACGACTAAGTTGTACCTAACTGAATTTGGTCTACCAGCCGTCGTCGCAATTTGTACAGACAGCTGTAAGTTAGTATTATTGTCTGTCTGCTGTTGTGGCTTTGTATGTGCGTGTCTGTATTTGTGCGACTGTCTGCACGGTAAACTAACAGTCGGTGGCCCACAACTCTCTACATTATTATTGCCAATAAGTAGTAGAGTTGCGTTGAAGCCAACGACCACGAAGCGACAACGCGTTCTATAAATGCTTATGGTTGTATTTATGTGTGTGTGTGCCGGATCCTGCAGTAATGAGAAACTTTTCTACTTAAAATGTAAAGTTTTCAATAATTTCGATTATTGGCGACTGGCCAAGGGAATTTATTTATTTGCATGCGGATGTGCACATAGCGATATATATATATAATACATATAAATGAATGTTTTTTATACAAAAACGTGTATACATATTGGTAAGTTATGTTTATTTTCAAATTTTGTGCTTATTTCTGCTGCTTTTTATGTGACTTCGGTGACGATTGTTCTTGTGTGTGTTTGTCTGTGGACAAACGACATGTAAACAACTTGCCATTGTGTGACTCTACGTCGGTTGAAGGCGCCTGGGTACACGCAGTGACGGAAGCGACGTAGTTTTGGCGGCAGATAGTAAGTAGAGAGCGCTTTAAATGTGACGTTGTGGAGAAAGTGGTAGTTTTATTCGCATGTTTGTTTGAGTACGAGGCATTTGTACGCTTCCAATTGAATGCCAGTGTTGCCATAAATTATCAAACATGCGTGTTATGTACATTTTACAGTACTGTTTTTATTTCTTTTATTGCCGCTTAACTACTATTGACTACTTTCGAACTATGTTTTCACACAAATATTATACCAAATGGTAAAGTTTCAGCTTTTGCGCTAAAAAATATACAGCATTATTGAACTCTTTATGTTCAGCTATCAAATGTGGACAATCCGACATTCCATCATACCAACTTAATGTTCAATTTAAAAATAACCGCTAGGGAAATTTTTTTCTCGACGTAGTTATCATAATTTAGACATTCGGAAGATATGGTAGACGTAAAAAATAACGAAATCAAAAAAATACCCCTTAGGGAAATTTTCATTCGACTTAATTATCCTAATTTAGATACTAAAGAGATAACGTAGAAGTTTTGATGTTATATTAAGTAATCATTATAATGAACAGACAGCATATCAAATTAACGTTCAACTTAAAAATCATCCCTAGGGAAATTTTTCTATTGACGTAATTATCATAATTTGGAGGTTTAGAAGATATTGTAGACGTAAAAAAACTACGAAATCAATAGATACCCCATAGGGAAATTTTCTATCCACTTAATAATCAAAAGATTGAGCTTTGCCATCATAACTTTTGAGCAATTTTTCACGACATTTAAGTAAAACGATAAAAAAAGGAATTTAAAAAAATTTACCAAATTTATCAAAAGCTTTTTAATTCACCCTAATGGACATATACATATGTATTATTGCATGTCCGTTTGTATATTTTCCTTGGCACGCATTTGTTTATTGTTAAAAAATATATATTTATTTATTTTGTTCATTGATGAGGAAATTATTTATTTGTTTGCCGAAAGTTTTTAATTTAGCCAACAATCCGTTGGGTGCGCGCCTACTCCGAAATGCCAAAGGATGAAGTATGGACGCCAAGCTGCTGCTAACTCACTTGCATTAGCCAAAAGTTTGGTAGCAATGCATTCTAAATGTGCTTTAGCAAAAGAAATGGCAATCAGTGGCGGGTTAAATGTCGCAATATACATATATTTTGTATATACATACATACATATTTACATCTTATCCAGCACAAATGGCATTACAGCAAACGATTGAGCGATACGATAGTATGCGCGCTTGTGTATATTATCGTTAGCAATTTAGCCCTTGCTTCGTGCTCAATACTGTTACACTCACACACTGCTACGTAAGTGAGTTTGTCAAAGGGCAGGCAGAAGAATTGCAAATGGACACGAAAAAGTTCCATTAAACTTATGCTAAACTTTTGTAATTATTTGATACTAATCAGTTTTAATGAAGTATTGCTATATGTTTGTATAAGTATGTCTGTATGCGAGCTTTTCATAACTGTTAAACGTCTGAGCTCCCTAAAACCATTTGCATTTGACTGCTTTTGGCTACAACGAATATCCTTTCAATTTTCTTCAACTTTCAGAGTTGTTTACACAAACATATATATGTATATCATACCTACATATATACAGACTCACAAATATAGACTTACGATACCTAGGCACACATATACCATGACTACCAGCAACCAAATTGATGAATTTATGCGCTAAAAGTGAAATGTGCGCAAACCGCCGGCAACATTTTCGAAAGCCATGAAGAAAGCTACGAAGAAATATGCAATGCATCAGCAGTTTTTCGTTTTATTTGCTCACATACACACATACAAATATCAATGTATTATCTGCATGTATATCACCCATTTATTTAATGTAAGTCGCATAGTAGTTGCTTATTTAGCATATGTGTGCTTTAGTTTGCTGGTGTTGCTTTTATTATTACATTTGGGTTAAGGTAAGCAGTTTCCATCAAACTTTGTTCAATTTCATTTATTCAAGTATTTCAGCTTTTATGCACTTGAATTAAGTTAATTTGAGTTTTGTGTGCCAAACTTTTCGTTGAGGTACAGGGACATTTGCAGATTAAACTCAGAAAGTGAGATTGCTTACATGTCTAGCAGAAAGGCAATTTCTTTAATAAAAGTTTGGTGCGTGTACATACATACATATGTACATATGTATGCAGATAGCTACGTAAAAAGTTTCAATATTTAACATATCCGAATTGAAGCTATTCAAGTAAGATTAAAAGTCTTTCAAGAATACAAAACTATAAAAAAATCTCTTAAGGGAAATTTGTGTAAATGATCTAATATTTAAAATTTTAAATTGTATACAATTGTGATATTCTCTGGAATATCAAAATCAATATTTCCTAAAGAGTGAAATTTCAAATACTGGAAATATAGGCGTACAAGTAAGATTAAAACTATTTCAAAAATACAACATAATCCAATTTCAAGGTCAAAATTTCTTATGAGGAAAATTTCTTAACCACAAAATTTGCCCAAATATTATATTTATGCATTCAAACGACGTAATATTAAAAGTAAAGCAGAAATAAAAAGATAAGCAGAAGATACTGAAATTATATAAAACATCGTTTCAAAATTACCCATAACTTGCAAACTTATATGCTTTTTGAAACCATTTTGGGTAATTTTTGCAGAATTTGCATATTTTCTATGTAGGTTATCTCTATAACAAATATTTAATGATAAATAAAATTTCCCCAAAAAGGGATATTTTTTAAAGGTACTGTTTTTATGGTATTTATATGCTTTAAGATGTGAAAAAGGCAATCGATTTTAAAAACCATCCCAGTAAGATATTTTTTTAAAAGTATTACTTTTAAACAAATTTTGTGCTATAAAATCTACTTTATGCAAAAAATTTCAAAATTCAAACCAAATTTCCTTACTAATTTCCTAATATACCAACTCACCTTTGCCAAATCCATGTATATCAGTGCGAAAATTATCCTTGCCCTTTTGACCATCCACCAGTTGGCCCAATCCATCAACAAACCGATCACCTTGCTCATAGCCATCATAAGTCTTGTCTGACAGATCGACTTCCATGCCACGTTGTACGCCTTTCGGTATGCTATACGATACGATACCCTCTGCAAAACATATAGAAACAAAACATACCAATTTTTAGCTCAAGCGTTCACTTAATTAAAATTTAAATGAAAGACATGTGGGTATTTAGCTTTAAGAGAGGTAAATACTTTAATATAATATATAGTGTGGTGAATCAAGTAAGAAATGAGGCGCACATGCAAGTCGTGTTACCACATTTTCGGTCCTACTAGTTTATGTTGCTGTTTTTGGTTATACCAGTGAGGTATGAGACAAGCGCGTAATGGTAGATATTGAGACATGTGTTTAACACACACACGCGCATATTTGTGTGAGCGACGCGTTGCTGACGAAGACAAACGACTGATGAGGTATTGCTTCCCTTGGTAGAGGATATAGCTTTCTTCAGTAAGAATGTGGGTATATTTACAGTTGTTGATGTGCCGCTTTGTATGCATTTACAGCTGGTGATCCTTTTACATTAACCATATTAAATTACTAAAATTTCTGCGTATTTAAAATTGATAGTTTAGTGACTATTTTCGTGGAAACACTACTATGGTTGCGGCAGACATACAGGTTGTTTAAAGAAAGTTTTGAAGGGTTTTGAAGTTTTGATTTAAAGAGAAATTTAAGGATATTGTTGTGCTCAATAGTGAAAAAAATACTATTGTGTGCTTCAATATAGAGTAAAGGATTTTAAAACAAATGTATATATTGCATCAATATATGTATGTATAGTTTGAGCTAAAATATTTTGAGAATATCTTATATCATTGTTTTTTTCAGCCAGCTTATCACATTAATGTTCAATCTAAAAATAACCCCTGGAGAATTTTTTATCGACGTAGTTATCATATGTTGGACATTCAGAAGATACGGTAGACGCAAAAAATTATAAAATCAAAAATTCCCTTTAGGGAATTTTTTTAATGGACTTCATTATCATAATTTATCTAAAGAAGAGAAAGAGAGAGAAAGAAGTTATATGAAAAATTTCCCAACTGAGGGACAAATTAAATTTTGATATTATTTTAAGTAATCAATATAGTTTACGTAAAGAATTACGAAATCAGAAAATTCCCTTTAGGGAAGTTTTGAATCGACTTAGTAACCATAATTTAGATATCAAAGTAGTGACGTAGACGCAAAGAAAACAGTAAAGATGTTAAAGGAAAAATTTCCCACATGAGGGAATTTTTTAAAATTTATTATTATTTCAATTAATTATGCTAACATAACTACTGTTAATATAAAAATATATATTTTTACCCTTAGCATTTAACAATAATTTTATATCTGAAAACCCTATAATATGTGGCAAAATAAAACGTATTTAGTTAACATTATGAAAATTGTACAAATTTTTATTTCTGAACCGTCCACAGCAACATAAATTTTCATTTTGTTCATTCCCTTTGTGTGCGCTGGCGGAAAACCCGCACGCCACAATAAGGCAATGCAACACCCACAAACAGCAGTGAAATGTGGGCACTTATACACACACATTTATAGTTATACTTTTATGCGGATTCTTAACACTGACATTTTTCACTTTTTGTCGGTTGACAGTCTTTTGTTGCTTAACCGAAAAATATAGCATTCACGCAAGTTACAAGGGGTTAAATGGCGTTAAAGTATGAAGAAACGGCAACAACTATAACAACCAACAATAAAATGCCACCAACAGTTTTAACAGTCAAAAGACAATAACAATTTCATATATACATATGTGTATGTATATAACGTGCATATGCCACACATATGTGTATGAATGTGTGTACATTCAAACACCCAACAACCATAACATTGTTGATGATGACGACGGCATTGCCGACAGGAACAACAAAAGCCGCTCATTTGTTTGGCTGCAGCGCGTCCGCCAACAGCGACAGCAAAAATTCGTGCCAAAACAGACACGACAGTGCGCCACCACAACAACAAAAACAAGTATTAACAGCTGATAGTGGCGCTAGTTGAGTCGCCAACAACAAGTAGCTGCGAATATTAAAAGGAATCAACAAAAAACGTAAAAAAAAAAAAACAATCTTGGTTTTAAAGGGAGTAGGAAAAAGAATGCTGCCATTCTGCATGTTGACACGCAATAAAATCGCATGCTAACATGAAAATGACAGAGAGCGCGCTAAAACAACAGCAATGACCATGGCAGTGCGCTCATGGCAACAATGACAACCAGTAATAATAACTACAATGCAGCTACAACAAAAAAATGTGTATTTGTAAAGGCAGTAGACATGCTGTAAGCGCAAAGTCGAACGCGTGTTGCCAACTATGCATAAGGATATAAATGTGTACATACATATGGATGTATATCTGAGCGAATACAGCTGTGCTGACAATATAATATGGAAAGTGAATTTCCGCTCTACTCGTATAACGAATGTGGTGACTACTGTGTAATGAATTATATGTATGTATATAGTATATACACATACATACACACATTTGTTTGTATGTATTAATCGTTGAGCTAAATTCTTAAACTGATTGGAGTTGTGTTGAAGACATATGAAGGTTTCTATTGAAGGAAAAGTTGAAAATATCTCATTATACATACATGAATACAATAATTTGAATTAAAAATTTTATTCAGTTTCGAAACCTACCAAAAATATTATTACAAAAATTCACCAAATAGCGACAAACTTAAAATATACCCTGCAGGGAAATTGATGTTTTATGCGTTAGTATAGCACAATTGCTTATAAGGTGGTCAGAAAATCACCAAAAGCAACAAATTTAAAATATCCCTTGAAGGGAAATTTTATTTTTTGCTTAAACATCATAGCAGTTGACTTGGTTTTGTATTATGTAATGTTTAAAGTTTAATTCATGCAATAAAAAGAAACTAAGTAATTTTTGAAATATTGAATTTATTTAATTTCATGTAAATATGTACATACATACATGTCAACATAATTGTCTACATACTATGTGCATATTTATGTAGAAGATTTGATTTCAATATTATTCAGGCATCAATAGCGCAACATAAATAACAGCTTTTACTTATTTTACTGGTTATGCTCAAAACCCAGTCACTTTAATTTAAGACAAACACGCGTTAAGCTTTCGCTTTCTGCTATATTCAAAATACCCCTCATGGCATTTGCTGGCTTGCAGCGCAATTTAAATAAATAATATATAAAATATATTATATCCTTGAATACCCTGTGCCTTCAATAACACAGGATATGTTTACAAGCTGCCAGCCTCAATGCTCATCAGCGCTGATGCCGGATTGTAGGAAGTAATGCGTAATGCCGACGCATGCAGTTTAATTTATATGTAACTTACATGCGTATTATACATATATACATACATATATGAGTGGGTACATATGTTTATTTCTGTATGAATATTTTATCAATGCAACATAAAGCATTTAATATTTCACAACATTTTAATCCTCCATACGTTTTAGCTGGTTAATGTTGCTGCATGCAGGCTTTCATGCATACATTCGTACATTTACATATCCACATATATTTCGTAAGTATATACTGCCGCATGTTTGTATGTTATACTATGTATACTTTTAATTCTCGCGGTCAAGTACAGTATGTTTGCAATTTTCATAAATAATTTCCACAGGAAAATCACATAAATAATTCTGACTTCCGTTCATTTAGCATGAATGCTCAATGTGCATATTTATGGTTACAAACACGTACATAAGTATAGCAAATATATTGCATATATAAATAAGTGTAAACTTATGTACATACATATGTATGTGCTGTGTAGTGTAAACTTATGTACATACATATGTAAATTTATAAGTAAGTGCGGCGGCTCGCAACACACACAATTGTCCGTGAAGGGATTGCTGATTATAATTTATTTATTCCACGCATTTGCTGCTGATTTTATGACAATGCTTGCAATAATATTTGTGGAATTAATACGCGAGCATATGTATGTATAATATGCACATAAATGTATGCTTTTTTGGTAAAATTTATTTTATTGCATGTGCAATAAAATTTTAAAATTTGTGAAATACTTATGAAAATTGTATGAATAACTTTTTATAGTGGTTGCAAATATATTTATCAGCAGGGTAATAAAAGTTTACGGCGGTAATTATAAGTAAAGTAGAGTCATTTTGTATTATAATGTGCTTTTAAAGCAGTGCAACTACGAAAGAATAAGAAAATGAAAAAGTTTTTTGGATAACCTCAAAAACCACTATACTCATAGACGCGGAGTCAAAAAAAAAAAAAAAAAAAAATAAGAGGAACGAACGACTATTTATATTCGAGTGAGTATTATCGCCTTAAATTCCATATAATTACACAGTACAACAGCTAATCTAGGGGGTGAGAAATTCCAAGTCAGGGTGATGGTACTAGGTCAGTATAGTAAAACCCTCAAAGGGTTTGGCGTTCGTATGTGTCAGTTTTTTATGACCTTATGACCCCTTCTTTTTCTTAAGAAAAAAAAAAACAAAAAAAAAACCAACAATAACAACTACAAGTTTAACAAACATTTTATAAGAAAATCAAATCTACTGAAAAACGTTTTCTTAGACGATCTTTAAGGCTTTTTAGTAACATCTAGCAATTTCAGAGTATCTTGGAATGAATTCACGAAGTCCAGCAATTCGTTTACTTCTTCACCAGGCACCTCGCAAAGGGATGTTCAGCTCTCAATCTCTATCTTCTCAAAACTAAGTGACGAACTTATTTTTCGTATATCCTTTGTGGATGCTAATAAAAATAGTTGCTCTGCTAAGAGGCAGGTATCAATTGATATGACATCACCTATTCAACGAAATGAGCTACAATCTTCTTTTGTTCAATACAGTCAAGATTGGACTATTGAGCTTTGCCAAAATTCATCACCTGTTCAAATATGGGCACTCAAGGTAGAAATCTAGTTTAAAGCATGATATCATATACATTTTTTTGGAACTCTCAAGACATACACTTTGTTTAAAACCAAATTTGATATACATTTTTTTGAAATTCTTAGCCTGCATATAGTCCAAAGGCTGTCACTATGAATAATTTCACAC